CTTTTCTTTTCTTTTCTTTTCTTTTCTTTTCTTTTCTTTTCTTTTCTTTTCTTTTCTTTTCTTTTCTTTTCTTTTCTTTTCTTTTTTTTTTTTTTATCCTAGATGCTGGAACTGCCTCGCTGGATGTGTGCTGAGTTCTCCCTGCTGCTCTGGACTGTGCAGCCTTAATTGTTGCAGGTTCCTGTTCTCACTGGGGAATTGGAAATAAATAGCAATTTGTGCATGGAGATGTTTTCTGAAACCTTTCCCTTTTTTGCTGCTTTTCAGTGGTAGATCTTCTCTTCCTGCCTTGGCGTTTACAACAATTCTCCAATGTCATTTCACCTACCCCAATTCCTTGCAGCTTCTGGGGCTGATAGAAGTGTCTGCTGTGGCCGAGGGAAAATGATACTGGTGTGTCCCACCTCCTTAATATGTGGAACTTCTCTTTCCATCTTAGAGGGTAGACTGAGTTGATCCTTTTTCCAGAGAAAATGGCAGGCTGAACTTGCCTGAATTCCTGAATCCAACTTTAGGTAGTTGAGTTTTCTTAAAGAAAATAAGCTCCTGTCTTTTGCTTTTTTTTGTCTGTGTGCTTTATTGGTATTGCTTCTTAATTGAGCCATACCTTTCAGCAGTAACCGTGAGCACCTTCTAGAGTGTTTGCTTCATTTTGCGCTCTGTCCTGAGACCTTCAGGCCCAAGTTTCTCCATTGCTGAGTTCATGGCAGGCCCAGGCTAACAGCATCCCCTGCGTCTGGTGTTCGCTCAGCTGTTTGTGGGGCTCATTTCCTCTGCATGCAGGCTGTTGGGGCAGACGGTGCCTCTTGAAGCTCAAGGCTTGTTTAGACCTTGTGCACGGTTTGATGAAGACATAGACTGGGTGAGGACTCGGTCTTGCTGCTATACTAGGGAATGGAACGCAGGAGGTTCCTGCAATATTATCCCCACGGAAGTCAGAATGTCCGAGGCCATTGGTGTGATGGTCATTCTCAGGGATGCACCTTGTTCCTGGCTGTCTGTATATACGTATAGAGCATGCTGCTTTATTTGTTGGTATTATTGACTATACGTCATTTGGATTTTGAGTCTAGATAACTTTATGGGTGGGTTTGTTTGTATTTGACGTAGAATTAGTTGAAATAGGTTTTTTTAATAGACTTTTCATACATATGATTGGGATTTTTGGGTAGGGCCAGCTTGGCTGGTGGAGTTTCAGATGTTCATTTATGAGATGGTTTTTGTTAATGCAGGTTTTAATTTTTGGAAGATTTTTTAAATTCAGTGCTTAGAAGGCTTTTTAAAATAATTCCTTGTATAGTTTTATTTATTTTGTAGTTGGTGTATGATAAGGGATAGGGTCTACTTCTTGAATGTTAATGCTTTTTAGTTTAGATGTTGATAATTTGATTAATTTCTGTTTTGGTGTTTTTTATTAGTTTTATTTTTGGGGACAGAGGCACTTATATGGTTGGTTTTTATTGGTAATTTTTTACTTCATTCAGGTAGTGATATTTAAAAATTTTCTAGTAGTTTCGATTGGTTTGTTAATGTATTTAATTAGCTATTTTTTATTTAAAATATTTTATGCATTATTGTTTATGATTTGTGAATTAGTAAAAAGGTAGAGCTTTAGGGTTTTTTAGTAATGTTTAGGGTCAGTTGTACAGTTTTGAGTTTACTGAGTTGGTTTGATTTGTTTTGGTTTTGTTTTGGTTTTGTGTTGTTTTTTCATTAGTAGTTATTTAATTTTAAATGTGTATTTGAGTTTTTTGGGTTTTTGAAATATTTGTTTTGGAGGAAGTTTATGTTTAGAAAGAATGGGGTTCTTGGGCCTCATCACAAAAAATCACAGTGGGATTTTTTTGGATTTATTTATAGTTAGGTTTGATTTAGTTTTTAGTAGGGTTAAATGTTGGGATTGCTTGGTTACATTAGCAATAGAAATAGGCTTTGTTTTTATATGTCCTTTATATGATGGGATACTAGTGTCGACTTTTGTGTTTCTGATGTATAGGGTTAATGAATTTATGTAGTTTAAACTATAGTTTAGAAAATAAATAAAAATTAAAAATAAGCATTAAACTATAAAATAAATATATAAATACACAAATGTAAATATAAATCAATATTAAGAATAAATACAACACAATAAATATGTATAAATGTGATATATTATGTAAATAATATTATATGTATTAACATAACATATTATGTATTATATATAATATATCTAAATATATAACAATATGTAAATGTAGATTCTAAATATAAATATCAAAATACAAATATAAAAAATATTTGAATAGTTTAAAATAAAAGTTTTTCTTGATTTTTATCTGGTTAGAGGCAGAATTTTTTAAAGTTTTGTTTGGTCGGGGTTTTGTTCGGGGATGGGACTTGTTCCTTTTGCACCCCTTTGCAGCCCCAGGTCGAGCTCCGTGGCAGTGCTGCCATCTTGTGGTCAGAGGCGGTACTGCAGCCAGCCCTGAGCCAGCGCCCTGCTCCTCACCATTGCTGGGTCATGGGGGGAGAGGAACCAGCAGCTGCTTATTGTGGGAAGGGCATGAAGGGCAGGAACGAGCAGTGAACGAGGTCGTGTCTGTAAACAGAGAAGAGGGCCGAAGGAGAGTTCGGAGTGCAAAGGGACGCAATGGCTTAGAAGGATGTTAGTGGTGGGGGTGGCCTGGCGGGGCTGGTTTCGGCAGGTGGTGGAGGCATGGTCACAGTGCGCCACTGGCCAGGGCAGTGGACAGGCGGGTGAGTGGAGTGAGAACAGGGCTGCTGTTTCCCTCTCAAGATGGCCGAAGCGACAGTGTGCCAGGACCCTGCAGGAGCCAGGTTGGGCTTCTGCCCCGCTCAAGATGGTGGCCATGGCAGGACCTCGCCTGTGAGAGAGACTTCCTGCTCCTCCTTGCATGGTTGCCGCCCAGCTCCGGCACCCCTGATCCAGATGCGCCTCCTCATGCCAGGAATGACGGCGGAAATCGGTGCCGAGAGTGCAGAATTGGTCAGCATCAGCCAGTGTCAGGGCCAGGTTCAGGCAGCGGACAAGACAGACATAACTGTGAGGGGCGGCAGCAGCTGCTCTCTTTGGCAGGAAGGTGAGAGGTGTCGAGGTGTCGAGGGGCAGGGGGTGGGGGACATGGTTTGCCTCTCTGTGTTCTTGTGCGATGCTGCTGGTGGGAGGAATGAGTGTGAGGCGCAAAGCCCTGAGCAGAGCAGTGGGAAATGGGAGGCTAGGAAGGGTCAGGCTAAAAATGGTTTTAAACTGGGCTGGCTTTTAGTGCAGGAAGAGACATTTTTAATCCAGGCTGCCAAAATGAAGACCTGTAAAATCCTAGGTTTGCCTTGTGTATAACATGTTTTTATTTCATATTTATGTCATCAGAAAAAGCAAGGAAAGAGTAAATGTGACTGGTTTTCACGATTGCAATGTGAAGGTTTTTTTTATAGGCTGGTGTATTAATGTTCTCTTTTTCCATCACAAGCTGGGCTTCTCCCCACCTTTTTCCATGTCTCTTGCATTGGGTATCCCAAGGAGGGCTGGGATCCTCAGCAGGGGTCTTAGGAGTTGATGCTACTTCTGCTTTTTCTGAAGGTGTATGGAAGTCTTCTGCTGAAATGACTATTTCTTCCACTGAAAAGCTTTCCATCTATGACCACCAATGCATGTGTGTGTTTTAATCATGTAGCCAGATGTACTAAGGTTTTTACTTTCTAAGCCAACACCTGTAGTAGATTAGTGTTTGGTTTGTGTCTATGAGAAGTGGGATTTGTGCTGGAGAGTTGCTATTGGGAAGAAACAACGGAGTAAATCCGCTTGGGGGATGTGTGGTGAGGATGTGAGTTGCAGGCAAGAGACCTATTGTATTAATATTTCCCTGTAATTCTAGGTGTTAGGATTTGGCCTGGGTCTGCCAGGATGAGTCTCAAACAACCCAACCAAGCCCCTGAACCCCCAGTGTATGTTTGAAACACTTCTACAAAAAGGCAAGTCAGTCATGATTCCAAAAGACAAATTGTAGGTGATGGCCTATGATTGCTGGGGAATTTCCTTGGGATAGATGGACCTCAGAAGGGAATACGTATTTCTAACTACGTTAAGTACATCGCCTGAGCATCTTTCGGCAGAAGCAGTTCACTGGAGCACTTTGCTGCTGGAGCAGTGTTCTGTGCATAAAGTAGAGGACGATTTGCCTCTGTGAGGATGTAAGTGTGACAGGACACAAAAGGCAAAGAACAAAGCTGCAGAGTGGACCAAATTGCAAAAGTCCAGCAACAGCTCCTTCACAATCAGAGTCGGCTGAGACTTCTCTTGCTACTTGAAAAATTAAAGTGATGCCTTTGGACTTCATCACACAACTTGGAGATTAGCTCTTTTTCAAGCTCTTAGTATTCCAGAGTCTATGATCACCCAGCCCATAGATTACCCAGAAAGACACATCAAAACAGAAGGTATTCTTGAAGTACCCCTTCTTCAAGCAGCCATGAAACTCTTCATACCATTGTGTGCCTCTGTATCTTCCTTCTCAGATAGATATGTTATCATATTTTCCACTCGCCATGGCAGCTCCATTGCCAACTTTCAGCAACTCCTTTCATAGAAAAAAGCTCTAATAGTAAAAGCAAGTGCACAGCTGCACCATCCACCTGCTGCACGTAAACTGCATCAAACTCACCAATGCACCCTATTCCTTACCCTTCTTCACTGAATCTATCATTGTTTAGCCTGACTCTCACGGCATAAAGTAAGCGCAATTGTTTCCACAGAGGGTTGGAAGAAGAATAGGTAGAAGCACAAGTAGCTCTTGCTGAATTGCCTCCTTATGACTGCTAGCATGAATTCGGAAGCCACGCTCCTGTGGCAGCCAGCACACTGCACCCACCAGCCCCATGCTCTACAGCTTCTTTCTGCAGCTTTTGCAACCTGTTGCTCTTTCATTCTCCCAGTGGCAAACTGTCATTTACTTCTAGCACCGAACACTGTCAGCAGCGAAGAGCTCCTATGTATTGCATCAGCCGAAGCTTGCTCATAGACTTCCACTAAAACTTTTGGAAACTTCTATTTGCACCACATTCAATGGGCAGTCCTCTTTGCCTTACAGCCTGTAAAGGCAGGTTGTAAGGCGTGGCTGCCAGATTGCCGTGTTCTGTGCATGGTGCTTCTCTGCTCGAAGTACCAATGCACACTTCAGCTTCACAAGGACCAAAGATCCAGAGAAATGTCTCACACAGAAAAGTGTGCCAGGACAAAAACAT